GACCTATATGCCGTCCGACCTGGAAGCACATTATATCCTTCGTTCGTCCTCTCCTCGCCCGACTTCATTTTGTCTGACCTATATGACGCCCGACCTTATCATGTCCGACCTTATCATGTCCGATCTCCGTGCCCGATCTTATCATGTCCGACCTCCGTGCCCGACTTTATCACGTCCGACCTCCGTGCTCAACCTTATCGCGTCCGACCTCCATGCTCGACCTTATCGCGTCCGACCTCCGTGCCTGACCTTATTACGTCCGACCTCTGTGCCCGACCTTATCACATCCGATCTCCATGCCCGACCTTATCACGTCCGATCTCCGTGCTCGACCTTATCACGTACGACCTCCGTTTTGTCCCGAGGAAGCCTTTTTCTTAACAGCGCTCGGACTTATATTTGGGCTCTTTTTTAGGGTCCTACTATTATTAACAAACCCATTAAACTCTACATCAATCCTTAACCCAATTTAATAGGCCAATTCTCGAAAACCCTACACATTATTTTTTTTTGCTCAACAACTTGCCTCCTCCCGCCCGACCCCTAAGCGTCACTTCTCGAACTGTGTGAGACATGACGTTTAGGGGTTTGCAGAACAGTGCTATCATTATACTGCTTCGCGTCACATCACGGGGTTTATGAAAAACCCTTCTCTCACTCTTTCAAATTTACGCAGTCAAAATTCTGAGATCCTTTTCTGTTTTTCCAGCAAGCTTCCTCCTCCTTCTTCATTCTCTTCATTACTTTGAAAATGGCCAATCAGTATGTTCCTGCTTTACCTTTCGACGGGACTAACCCATCGGTTTCCTTCGTGGCTTCAAAGGTTCTTACCCCTACCGTTCGCCCTTACTGCACCACCATCGAAGATGCTGATCGTATGAGATCCGTCATCTCTCAGATTTCTCCGATAATCGTCAATGATACTGCGTTCAAACCGGAACGTTTTCTGGACAACATCAAAACTCATCTCATTGATCCAAAAGACGCCTATCGTAAATGGTACGCGAGGCTTCTTCCCCACTTTGAAGAACAATGGAAGAGGCAAGGCATTGACAAATCCATCCTCCTCTCGACTCAGCCCCTTCATCTTCACGACAAGGCCCTACTAGCAATGGCGGCCTTCTGGCATTCCCAGATGGGCGTCTTTCTTCTCCCCTCTGGCCCTATCGGCCCGACCTTGATGGACATGGCTATCATTGCCCATTGACCTATAGTGGGTGATGATCCCGTTCTGGTCTCCTTTGAGGGTCGCGAGCCTTCGCCTGATCATGCTGGTTGGGCTCTTGCCAAACTTCCTGAGAAAGAAAGAAGCTAGACCAGCTTCGTCAACAAATATCTGTGTAAGGAAGGTACCCCTGTTTCTGAATTGGAGCACAAAACATTCCTTCTTTTTTGGTTGTGCAGGTACACCTTCCTCCTTCGTAATCTTTATGCAAATTCAAAGTTGGATGTTTTAACTCGTCCTTTCTTCCCAGGTCGATCTGGCCATTCAACTGGCCAGCGGCCAATTTTTCTCATTAGGAACCCTCTTTTTGGCTAACCTTTTTGAGGGGTTAGCTCGAGTGAGCATCCGCCTGACCGATACCAAAAAGGCGGATACAGCTGCTTCGTGACCGTTTTGGTTCCTGGAACTGTAGCTCCGTCTTTACTTCCCCAATGCTTTCTTTGGCCGACTGCCTATCACCCCAAACCCCTACAGGTGTATAGGTTATACCTTGGCCATAAAACTTCTAATTCCTCTTATCTCTATCCATCCGACCCCGTCATCGCCCAAATCTTGACTGAGGACTGTAGCAACTCCCGCTTTTATATTTACGAAACCCTTATACAATATTCAACCGATCTTTTTTGGCTTCACCCCGACACACCTTATCCCAATCGCATCCCGATCCTCTTCCTCATCCAACCTATCCTTTTTCCTGGGGCTCCGCCATGAAACCCCGATCTCTATTTTCCAGTAAGAGGTCGGACAAGAAAAACCACAGATTATTTTATATTTTTAATTATCAGCCCCAATTTTTGGCCCGACAATTCGGTTGCTGTCAGGGCCTGCCGGGGCCACTAGCCCGACCTCACCTTATACCTCAAAGCCCAGAAGTGCTGGAGATTCCCGAGCTCATCCCGACTTACCTTTCCCAACTTACCGACTATATCACCTCTAACTCCTATTTGCCTTTCCGCTTAAAACCTTCGGCGGCCGAGGCCTTCCCTGCCTGGTGGTCGGCCACCTGGCCTCTGATTGCTCCTCCGACCGACCAATTGGTTGGGAAACTTGCCCCACCCCCAGTCTTGGTGCTGGGTTCTCCTCGATTGGCCGCTGCTCCGAGAAGAAAAAGGCAAGCGCCCGCCACAGGCGGATCCGGAACAAAAAAGAAAAAGCAAAAGGCCGCCCCTGTCATCGTAGGCAGGCGATCGAGGAGTATCTGGCATTTTTGCCAGTACACACAAGCGGATTACCGAAATTCCTGAGAAAGCAATTTGGTAAGCCCTTTTCTTTCCATGCTCCATTTTCAATATATTCCCCTTTTAATTTTAATGGCTCCTATTCCAGAGGATCCTTCATTGCTACCAACCGCACACCCGACTGTTTCCCAACCGACCGAGACTTAACCGACCATGGCTCAACCGACTGCGGCGCAATCACCCATCAATTTGACTTCCTCCCAGTCAACCGCAGTCCTGACCACAAACCAACCGACCGCGGCCCCATCCGTAGTACTGCCAATAACCTGTAGGAGAGAGGACCCGACTATGAGGCAAGTATCCTCACCAACTTCTACCCCGACTGCCAATCAACCGACAACTGCACCACCGACCTCAGCCGAACAAGTACCTGCTCAACCAGTCGATTCTCCAGAAAACCCCCCGACCGCTGATCGATCGACCTTCGCATAACCAACCCCTATGCAGGCTGAGGTAAGTATTTCCTAATGCTTCTAAGAAAAAGAGAATACTTACTCAACCACTAATTTCAATTTCCCTTTCTGTAGGTCCATCGACTGGAGGAATCGGCGGGGAGGCAAATTTCTCCTATAATTTTGCCTTCACCTGTTCTTCCACCACCATAGGTGACTGATGTGGTCGCGGGGATGCCCGACCAACTCGTCGCCTTCCCCGACCAGGTCGCGGAACCACCTGCCCTAGTCGTGGCACTGTCCGACCCCGCTACTGTGTAGCCTTTGCAACCAGCCGCTCAGCCCGTGGGCGAGGTTCCTCCTATCGCTCCTCAACCAGTCCAACCGATCCCGGCACCTCACGACATAAAAGAGATTTCTTCCTCGAAGTCGGGCGAGGCTTCAGTCAATTTTTCCCCAAGGGGTTCGGTCAGTGTTCTTTCTCCTCTGCTTTCTGATTTTTAAATCACGTTCCGTAGCTTAATTTTCTCCTTGCATGACATGGAGCTGGTCGTCGCCCACCGTCTGCAACCGGGAGATGAGTCGGTTTCTGGCTGGACGACTCGTCATGGTGCCCCTACGACGCTCCGTCTCATGGCCCCTTCTGAAGCCACGGCCGCTCTAGATCAGGTAAACTCCATCTTTATATCATAATGAGTTCACCATGTTTTTTCCATACTTAACATTTTCCTTTTGTCTCTGACTGCCCAAGAGATGAACATTTTGGCCCGAGTGAACCTTCCGACTCCCGCCCAAGCTATCATAGAACGTTGCGCTAACCTATCTTTTACCGACTTGAGTTTAGCCGACGTAAAAGCTCTAGTTTAGGTCGTGATAGACTTGCTAGTGCAGCCCACACCGGAGTCGGAAGCCCCCCTGTCCTCGATCGGATGATGGCAAGGATCACTGAGCTTCAAGCCGAGCTACCTTGAAGAAGGTCGATGAAGACCTAAATCTTGCCAAGGCTATGCTGGAAGAACTCCGACAAGCGCAACACATGTTGACGGCTGAGATCTCCCAAAAAATGGAAGTGCTCAGACGCCTCCAAGAACAATTGGAGTCCCTGGATGACAGCATCGAGGAAGGCAGTCGCCTGGTGGAGGCACATTGCCAAACCCAGGTGACTCTCTACGAGCAACTCCAAACAGCCATACGAATGCGACTCGTCCGGGGACACCAGGAGGCCTACCAGCGTTGGCGGGCCACAAAATCGGAGCTAAAGTGGGCCGATCTCCAAATTGCTCTTAAGGCCCTGCTTTCTCTGTAACCCCAACATAATTTGTATGGAGTTCCCAGACTTAATCTATACATCCTATTTTCAGAACACAAATCCTATGTTCTTTGCGCTTTTACTAAGTCAGACATCAAAACACAGATCCATGTTTTTTGCACATCTAATAAGTCAAAAATTAAACATCACAACACCTATATAAAACCCCATACCTCATACTGCAAACACCATCAGCACCCCCGCATCACACTAAAAAATGGTTTCTCCTCACATTCGCGTCCCTTCGTCCAATTGGGAAGGTTCTTTGCAACCATTCCTTGTGGGAAAACATCCCATAGGTCATCATGCCGAGGACCTGATACAGGTGCTAAAACAACTGAACTTTAAATTTAAGTTCTCTGGCAGGGGCAGGAAAACCATACACCGTATGATCCAACTAATGGAGCGTGTATCCACCAGCTACGAACCCTTTACTGACATACTCTCCCGCATATCCGATCTTGATCATCATCTGGACATGATAGACCATCATGTTTAAGAAATTCTCCCAGACCTCAGCTGGAACAATATTTTCCACCAACAGAGATCAACACTCTCCAGACTACGTATTCTTGTTGAGCGAGAAAATCAATCTCTACAAGACATGAAGGTCCGCACTGAACAAGATCTTCAAGAAATGCAAGACCAGTGGGATCGCTACCGCCTTGACTTAGACGACCTTCTGGATGAAGAACTTGAAATGGTTTCTGCGAGTTGGGATGAAACTTCTAAACCAGAAGACAATCATCCTTGTGTTACCCTTTCGGACGATGACTAAAGAACCCTTTCCAGTAGGTTCGAACCCTTTGAGGGGTTCCGAGATTTTGTAATAAGAATTAATGACAATGTTCTGAAAAGGCAGGGTAATACCTTTTCAGATACTTAGCATTAATATTCTCATGTACCAGCTTTCCTTCTTGATTTACAATAATAAAAGCTCCATTTCCAATTACTCTGCTAACGATAAAAGGGTCTACCCAATTGGGGGACCATTTCCCTAATTGGTCCACCTTCTTATACGTAGGCAGAATTGTTTCCCAGACAAAATCCCCTTCTGTAAAAACCTTTGGGGACACTTTTTTTCCATAATATTTTGGTCTAATCTCACTCTGTCTAACCACTTGATCCAGAGCATTCAAATGATATGTGTCCACCTCCTTCAGTTGTTGCCACATTCTTTGTGCATACGCCTCGTCAATACATGTTGTTGTACTAACCACTCTGGGTGAAGATACAACAAATTCTGCCGGCAGAACAGCGTCTTGCCTGAATGTTAATTGGTATGGGGAAAATCCAGTAGACGTATTTCTACTATTTCGGTAGGCCCACAATGCCTGAGATAGCAATGTGTGCCATTTACTTTGATTTTCCTCTACCATTTTTCGGATGATACCGATGACAATCTTATTTGCTGCTTCGGCCAACCCATTAGCCTATGGGTAATATGGTGAAGAGTGATGCAATTTGATGTTAAATTCGGCCAAAAATTCAACAAATTTCTCCCCAATAAACATCAATCCTTGATCGGTTGTAAGAGTGTGGGGAATCCCAAACCGACAGATAATGTGATTAAGCACGAACTCAATCACCTCTTTCTGCGTCGCATTCTTCAAAGGAACTACCTCTACCAATTTGGTGAAGTAATCAGTTGCTACCAAAATCAATTAATGTTGCTTTGATGACGTCGGATGAATTTTCCCTATTACATCCAACGCCCAAGCTTTGAATGGCCACGGCTTAACCATCGTCTGCAGTTCTACTGTTGGCAGATGATTCAATGGACCATGCCTCTGGCATTCCTGACACCCTTTAGCAGATCTGATGCAATCATCAAAAAATCTTTGGCCAATAGAATCCCATACGATGAATAGCCCATCGCATATTCAGTCCCGCTCGGTGTGCCCCACAAATTCCACCATGAATCTCTTCCATTACTTTAATGGATTCTTCCGGCCCCAAACACCTCAATAAAACTTCTTCAAAGGTTCTTTTATACAGAATCCCTTCAATAAGCTGAAAATGTAATGCTTTCAATCGAATGCCCACAGGAGTCACAAAACTTGGTGATTCCAAATAAACCATAATTTATGTTCTCTAATCAGTACCAGTATCAATGCTACCAATCATCTAATGGCAAGCATTCTGAGCAAGATTATCCGCCAGCCGATTTTCTGTTCTCGGTACATGCTCGAAAACTACCTCCGTAATTCTGTATAACATGTGATATACCAAATCTCGGTGTTGACGCAGATGAGGATAATTACAAGCGTACCGTTTTAACACCTGATTGATGACCAGTTGAGAATCTCCACAAGTTAGAACCATTTGTGCTCCTTTAGCGATAAGTGCCTCCAGACCCAAAATCAGTGCTTCGTATTCCGTAGAGTTATGAGTCATCTCTTCCATTTGAAGCTGCAAACTAATTTTCCTGGCTCCTGGTCCTTTTAATATCACTCCTGCTCCTGACTTCCCTTTTGAATGAGAACCATCAGAAAACATTTTCCAAGTACTAGTGCCTATATACTGCACTACTTTGTTTTTAACTGGATCGTCGTCTGCAAATTCAGCCAATAAATCAGCGACAACCTGCCCTTTCATCGCTTTGATTGGTCGATGTTGCAACGCGAAAGGAGCCAATCTAATTGCCCATTTCATCAACCTTCCTTGCATGGTTGGTCTGTGCAAAATTAATCTGACCAGATCCACTTTGGAAACAACCTCAGTTTCTCTTGGCAGAATATAATGCTCCAACCAAGTACAAACAAAGTTTAAATAATAGCACATTTTTTCGAGCATAGTATAATTCAACTCTGGTCCTGCCAGAGTTTTGCTCAAATAATAAATAGCCCTCTCTTTACCATATTCCCATTCTTGTGTAAGCAGACTACTTACCACATCGAAACTGTTCGCAACATACAGCCGAAGGGGTCGATCCCCTCTTGAAGGAACCAACACGGGTGGTTTGGTTAGTGCCTGCTTGATTTCTTCTAACGCCTCTTGCTGCTCCGGACCCCAACAAAAATCGGTTGCTTTATTTTTTAAAAGCTTTGTGATGGGTTTTAACTTTCCCGCAACATTTGATATGACACGCGTTAGGTAATTTACCTTGCCCAACAAACTTTGCACCTCTTTGACCGATTAAGGTGATCGCATTGTCAGAAAAGCCTTGGTCTTGTTTGCGTCGACCTCTATCCCCTTTTCATGCACTAAAAAACCCAGAAAATTCCCTGCCGAAACTCCTAAGGCACATTTCGTTGGGTTCATTTTCAGGTTGTACTGCTTCATACGTAAAAAAACATTTTTTTAAATCAACCAGATATGTGTCAAAGTCAGTACACTTAATGATCACATCATCGATGTATACTTCCATGGACTGCCCGATCAAATCATGAAAGATGGTATTCATTGGCCGTTGATAGGTTGCTCCGGCATTCTTTAACCCGAATGGCATAACCGTCCATTCGTAGATTCCCAAAGCCCCTGGGCATCTGAACGCAGTTTTGGGTATATCTTCCTCCACTAGTGAGATTTGATTATACCTTGCATACCCATCCATCAAGCTCAAGATTCGATGCCCTGCTGCCGAGTCGATCAGCATATCGGCTATGGGAATCACATACTCATCTTTTGGAGTGGCTAAATTGAGATCTCTGAAATCTATGCAGATCCAAATCTTCCCATTCTTTTTGGTTACCGGAACAATTTTGACCAACCATTCTGCATACCGACAGGGTCGAATGAATCCTACCTTCAACAATTTCTCAATCTCTTCTTTGATCTGGGGCAGCAATTCCGGGCTAATTCTTCTTGGTGGTTGTTTATATGGCCTAAACCCTTTCTTAATAGGCAACCTATGCTCTATCAAATCGCGTGCCAATCCGGGCATCTTGGAATAATCCCAAGCCAGACACTCCATGTGGTCCTGAATTATAGCTATCATTTGCTCATGCTGGTTTTTAGACAAAAAACCACTTACCCTGACCATCTTGGGTATTTGTTCGATTCCTACATTGTATTCAATTAGAGGATCCTGAGTTGATAAGGAAGGTTCTGTCTTTTCCAAGAGATCAGGCCAGCGAAAACCTTCTCCCTCGTCAACATTATTGTTGGAACCTTCTCTATTATGTAGTCTAACCATTAATTAGTTTAAATAAAACTGCCTAATTAGCTAATCACATTTATTTATTTCTTCCATAATTTAACTTTAATAAATGTAAAGTTTTCGGCTAACAAAAGATCCATAAGACAGAAGAATGTTTCTAATGAAACACGTACCCCTGAGCAGTGAGCCTACAGCTCTTCCAGGGATAATCATCTATGACCGTTGTTCGAGAGATAGGAGGTACGTACTCTGAATAAAGTACCGACTCTTCCGCAACTTCTGTGGAGCCAAACGGATTTGTGCTGGCATCCATTCTGAACACTTGATCTCCTTCCCAAAACATGATCTGCTGATGGAGAGAAAAAGGTACGCATTTGGAAGTGTGAATCCAATCTCGCCCTAACAAGACCGAATAAGTGGTGTTGGCATCTACCACAAAGAATACCGTTGAAATCACCTTTGGTCCGACTTCAATAGGGGCTACTATCATCCCTTCTGGTTTCGTTGGTTGCCCCGTGAAGCTTGTCATCTCGATATCTACTGGAGACAGATCAGCAACTCCTTTGCCCAACTTCTTCAGAGTTTTGAGAGGCATGACGTTGAAGACGGCCCCATTATCAATGAAAACCTTGTTAATGGGCTTACCACAGATGTCAGCGTTAACATATAATGGTTTCAAGTGTTGAATTGCTCCTTCTGGTATAGGCGAAAAAACCATAGATGGGGGACTGCCAGCCATTGCCGCCCATTTCGGTTCTTCTTCTTTCAGCCTTGCCCAGAAGGGTTCATCTTCTTCATCGAACCAACGCATGCCAATCATCCTGACCTTGAACCCGGCTTTATCAGTCTTCACTATCTTGCTGCGCAAAGCCTTTGTTTCTTCCGGAGCAAATGTTCCGAAGACTATCTTAGGGACCTCCTCTTCGACAGCTTCTATTTCGGGATCGATATTGATCCGTCTACAGAACTGACACCGAAAGCACCTAGCCTTTTTGATAGGCCTTTCAATCTCCCCGTGTGCCTGTAGTCGGTCGCTCGGGCTTTTTCTTTTGGGTAACGTCTCTTTCTTTTCCTTCCCCTTGTCTGCTCGCCTCCCGTGCCGAACTGCATACCTGCGCTTAGCATTACGGATTTGTGTACGATTCATACATAGAAATCGGGGATTTATGTCTATTGGCAGAGGCTTTCTGTTCCGGCTCCACTTGTCATGGACTGGTTGTGGCTTGCGCGTTGGTCGATCTCGCACTACCGCTTTATCTTTCAATTCCACTTCAAAAGAACCGTCCTTTTTATCCCATTTCTCTGTCACTCTGGTTTCGCAAACCTTAAACTTGTCTTCCTGATCAAACTCCCGCTCCTTTGTCTTACGCTCCTTTTGCTTGGTATCTCATTCGTCATCTCTTTGTGTGTCTTGTGAAGAACGTACAGAGATTACAGCAGTAGTTACCTTTGGGAAAGGTTGCTGCTCTACTCCCATCGTCACATACTTGAATCTCCCTGCTTTGATAGCCTTCTGTATTTTCTTTCGGAAATGCGTACATTGATTAGTGTAATGCGTAAAAGAATTATGCCACTTACAGTATGGCCTTCCTTTTATCTCCTCTTTCGTTGCTAATCGTTGCCCTTTAGGGTTGCGAATTTGCCCATCCGCTAGCAAAATATCGAAGATTTCATCTGCTTTAGATGCATCAAAGGTTGGTTGTTCCCACTCTTCTGCCCCTGGAAGGGGCTTTAGTTTGGAACACACATAAGGCTTGCCGTTTACAATTTCAGCTGCCATTTCTTCAATGCTATTCTTCTGCTCATCATCTTGCACATACATTTCTGTATCGACACCGGCCATCTGCTGGACCATGTTCCGCCAGAAATTGTGATTTTTTTCTCTAAAAAGAGATTCTAACCTTCCTGCTTTTGAAGCCAAATTGGCCAGATCTCGAACATCGTGGGCTGTCAACGCCTCCCGTAGTTTGGTATGCATGTTCCTGACCACTAAATTGGTCATCTCACTTTCCTCAATGATTGTCGGGCAACGTCCCTTCATTAGACGTATCTGCTCTATAAATTGATAAGCAGTCTCTTCTGGCATTTGCCGGATTTCCAAAATATCTGTGAGTGAAACCATCAGGAGCAGATTAAAGAATCTTGCATGAAAAGCCGCTTCCAAACTTTCCCAAGTTTGCAATTGTCCTGGTGGGAGACTGGCAGACCAAGAAAAAGTTGTTCTGGTGAGCGATAATCCGAACAACTGCAATTTGTAAAATGGATTATTTCCCACTTCCCCCAATTGAGCCGTGAAGCGTTCCACGTGCTCAATGGTTGAGGCTCCATCTTCCCCCGAAAAAGAATGAAAATCGCGTGGTCTGTAATTCCTCGGGAGATGATGCTTATTGATGATTCTTTCTGGTAATGGCCTCTGATATGCCGGCCTGTTCACCGTTTGAGGATTGATTCCGAAATGCACCCGCAGAATTTGAGCGATGTCTTCCGGATCCACTCTAGGTGAAATAGGATCGAACACAGGAACGGGATTATGAACTTGACCGCCTAATCTTTTTTCTTTGGAGAAGGCCGGCTCGATTGGGATAGGATTATGAGCCCGACCGCCTAATCTTTCTTCTCTGGAGAAGGTTGGTTCGGCTCTGACACCCAATGGAACGTTATTTGGGTATGTTAGAGGAGTCTTCCCCCGATCAACCCTAGTAGTGGCACTTGGAAGAGTGTTGTCTACATATGAAGGCCCCGCGAAATTTGCTTGTAATCTGGATGGTGACAATTCTGGCGGTGACTGGGTGGGTTGCAGAGTAACTCTTGATAAAGCTTGATCTAGCATATTCTGCATAAGGTTTTGTTGCTCACGCAACATGTTTTGCATAGCCAGAGTATGCTGATTGTTCAATTGTTGAACATAAGACACCCAATCGACAGGTGCTTGGGGGACTTCCCCTGCATTCGGCATAGCATGTGGTGAAATAGTTTCCCCCACTGTGTTGAAGATACTTGGGGCTGTGAGCCTGCCATATGGATCCTTCTGATTATTCGACCGGACTTCAATCGTATAAAATTCTCGCTTGACGTAGGATCAGCAATCTTGCCTTTCTCCCACTATGGTCGCGAAATTGTTGATGCCGATTTTCAACAATAAAAATTAAAATCTGAAAATAGATATTATCTTCGAATTTGATAAACTAAATGCCTGAGATTAAGAATCTCTAGACACCGTATGATACATAAATAAAATAGGAAAATAAAAACTACAGACAAAAAAGTAAATGGTGATCCCCAAAAGCAATTCTCTTGAATTTGATGTCGATTGAAGATGGTTTCTTTAGGTCATGAACAAACCTATTTAAAACCCATGTCAACCGCCACAACCAAGTCGTGTCTTCATCTCCGCTCGCCGGTTGTAACTTCTCTCAACCGTCTAAAAACTGCTTTTCGTCCGACTTGCACATCTGCTGTTCCGTCTCCCCTTGCCCGTCTTCCACTTGTCTTATCTCCACATTAATCATCTCTTCGCCCGACTTCATCTTGCCCGACCTACATGCCGTCCGACCTAGATGCATATCAT